TATATATATATATATATATATATATATATATACCTACCCAAGGGTAATTGATGATTAGAAAACCCTTGTGCAATCATGTTCACACATCTGAAAACAGTTTAGCTCGTTACAGAAGCTACAAAACTGACCTTCCTTTGAGCAGATTGAGTTTCTGGAGCATCACATTTGTGGGCTCAATTAAATGCTCAAAATGGCCAGAAAAAGAGAACTTTCACTTGAAACTCGACAGTCTATTCTTGTTCTTAGAAATAAAGGCTATTCCAGGCGAGAAATTGCTAAGAAATTGAAGATTTCCGACAGTGGTGTGTACTACTCCCTTCAGAGGACAGCACAAACAGGCTCTAACCAGAATAGAAAAAGAAGTGGGAGGCCGCGTTGCACAACTGAGCAAGAAGATAAGTACAGGTCCCTAACTGGCATCTTCATTAAATAGTACCCGCAGTATCTTGTTTGTGCTGTCCTCTGAAGGGAGTAGTACACACCGTTGTAGGAATTTCTTCAATTTCTTAGCAATTTCTCTCATGGAATAGCGAGATATATATTTTTTTTCTTTAGATAAGTTTTTACCTGATATTTATTCTCTTTTAAACACATCTGTACATTTTTTAGCAATAAGTTTGAACCGGCATGGGCATTAGACAGAAGTCAATTCTCTAAATGCTACTCCCTATTGCAGAAGCACTTTAAAAAGATCAGTTATGGATTCAAGGGGGCCAAGCCATTCACAGGGGCCGAGCTCTTAATGTTAGCCTCATGGCCCATGAATTAAGTTTGATTGGTTGGTGCTCATTATAGCAGTGAAATCCACGTTCCTCAGCAGTTGTCCCTTCAGTGAATATTCTTCAGTTCTAAAGAATACGCAGTTTTATTCCATCCTCATAGCTTTGTGGTTGTTAGTATTTATGGACATGCAATGTCTAAAAGAATCAGCCATTGCATTGGTGTTGCTGCATGAACCTCATTCCTCACAAACAAGCCCCGTTTAATTCTCTCCAGTGAGGAAGACAATATTGGTAGCAGGATGAATAAAAAGACAGCTTGCCTGCCTCCATTGTTCTCCACCAGCCAAATGAACTCAGTAATCAAACTGCCGTTGGTAATGACAGCTAATTGAATAGAAACAATAGAGCTTGATAGCGCGCCCTCTTACAGTAAAGGAAGAAAAAGATGGATGGCTGTTGAAAACGTAATACATAGACACACAGACACACACACACACTGCCACAAAAGCTGTCTCCCTACTGAATGGAACATCTGGAGGTTTTGCTCAAATAGCTGTAGCACATTGGCTCTTGGTGTTGAACTATGATTTCCAGTGAAGGTCTTATCCTTTCGCACTATAAACCACTCTGAATGTGGGCTTAACACATTTCTTTGGAACCTGGTAGGTCTGTTTCTCCATCCAGACATATCCCCTTTGAGCAGATCCCAAACACCAGGTTTGACTCAAAAAAAGAAAGTGGACATATACTATGTTCAGTTTCTTCGCGAGTTATTCAGGAAAATTTCACTTTTTTAAATGTTGTTGTGTTCTAACCTCCAAGTTCAATATATTTTATTTGGGTTATATGTAACAGAACAACACAAAACAGTTCATGACCGTGAAGTGAGAGTCAGATAATGGTGTTCAAACCCTTTTACAATTAAAAATCTGAAAAGTCAGCATTTCGATTCAACCACCTCTACTCTAAAGTGCATTTATTTTGGAGTCATCTAACTTAGCAAAGAGAGTCCAGGTGATAAATAACTCCCTGAATATAGAATAGGTAGGAAATCAGAACTGCACTTTAACTTAAACACATCATCCCCTACATGAAACATGGTGGTGGCACCATAAAGTTATGGGGCTACGTTTCTTTAGCAGGCATAACCTGTTGGGCAGAGTGGTTGGAACTAAATGCAGGGAATTTATGAAATATGTTTTAGAGCTGAGGTGTTCAAAGTGAGACTGGTGTGCCATGTTCAACACTAAGAAGATTTTGTGCAGACTTAATTGGTAGCCCAATTTAAGAAAGGTGAAATCGAATCAGATTTTAAGACATTGTCAGGATCCGGGACTTTGCCCACCAGAGGGCGCTGTGGATCCAAGCCTGGGGAGTTTGGACGCAGCTTGATCAGCTGTTTCCAGTCTGCTGATTGCGGAAGTTTCCTATATAAGCTGTGTCTGATTTTCTCTCTGTGCTGGATCGTGTTTCTTACCTGTGCCATCATGCCTGTCTGAGCTTTGAACCTGTAGATTCCTCCGTGTTCCAATAAATATTGGACTTTTATTCCTCCCTCCGTGTCTGTGAGTCTGCATATGGGCTAGTAAAACCAACGCATCATGACAGAACGATCCATCTAGCCAACAGACTAGCCCCGCAGACTCCTTCTACGCGCTCCTGGGGAGCCCGCTCTGTGCCGTCTGGAAAACCCTGAGCTCGCTCTGTGCCGTCTAGGAGACCCCTGAGCCTGTTCTGTGCCTTCCAGAGCCTTCGAAGGTGGAGCCACAATCGGTGGATCCCTCGGTTCATTGAGGTGGATCCACAATCGGTGGATCCCTCGGTTCCTTGAGGTGGAGCCACATTCAGCACCACCCAGAGCCCCGGCTCTGACTTTCATTGTCGTTGTGTCCTTGGGCAAGACACTTCACCTGTATTGTCTACTGATGGTGGTCAGAGGGCCCGGTGGTGCCAGTGTACGGCAGCCCTGCTTCTGTCAGTGAGCCCCAGGGCAGCTGTGGCTACAATGTAGCTTGCCACCATCAGTGTGTGAGTGTGTGTGAATGGGTGAATGACTGTAGTGTAAAGCGCTTTGGTTAAGTCTTCCAACTTGAAAATATACTTATATATATATATATATATATAAGTACATGCCATTTACCATTTACCATAACAAATTACAGGTGTCGTTTTCAAAGAAATTGTGTTCAAAATCAATTTGTTTTTTATCTAAACATTGAAACTTTATCTTATTGTTTAGGAGAGGAGGCTTGCAAGCTAAAAGCTTGGATTCAATGTGCAGAAGATTCCAAACTAACGCAAATATTCACCTATAACAGGACAAATGAGATCAAACAAAATGCCACAGGCTCGACAGGGAAAATAAAAATGGATATCAAAGCTTATTTATGTGTTCGAATAGCCGATCAGATATTAGACATAAATATAATAAAAAGAGAAATGACAAACTTTAAAATTCGCCGTCAGTAACCGTCCTTAACCTATTTCTCTCAATGTACAA